AGGAAAAGTTCGACTAAAATTTCTAAGAGTAAAATTTCCAAAATGTTTTTTTTGTAAGGAAATTTGGATATTAGCATTTCACTTAGTATTGTTTTCTTTAAAAGAATTTATGCAAATTAGATGATAAATTAATGTTATCATTTCCTAATTACTAAAAGAATTAATTACCTGTTGAGGATATTAATTTCTTCCATCAATCACTTAATTAGTTTCATTTTTCTTATGAGTCATTTTTAAAAAAATTAAAGAAAATTTCTACATATACTATAAATAATATTTGCAGCACATTTATATTAGAATGATACAGCAATTGTTACAGTAGCAAATTTTCAACTGATAACCTTTTCCGATAACCTTTTCGTCGATATATGACTGACTTATGGGCGCATTTGGAATACCAACTTGACTAAGCTTTATAATCAATAAAGCCAATTAATGCATGCAAATTTAGGTGTCAAATAAGGCTAAATTAATAAATCTCATTTTCTTTTTCTTTTTACATGATAAGAGATAAAAGTTTTATTTCTGATAAATTCAATAATTAAATGTTTATTAATTATCTTCTAAGTTCAGCAATATAAAAATGACTGATTAATGAAATTTGTGTTCTAATAAAACAAATTTATTTTAATCATTTTTTAGGACCAATTCTCGTTTTTCTTTTCCATTCAAACAAAATGTGATATCATTGAAAGTCAAAAAGAAAATTCAACTTATCATAAAATGTTGTAATCTATAAGGCATAGAAAAGGATATGTCTTTGCTTCTTGTCAGCTTTTTTATTACATTCTACTTTTCAAATGAAACTTCTAAATCTAACTATCAATGCAAAAACCCGACTGATTAAAAATCTCTAATGATGCACAAATTGTAATGTGACAACCAATCATTTATAGGAAAGGTAAAATTTTAATTTAAGGAAAAATATATTTTCAGATAAAATCCCTTTTGAATATAGTTTACAGTCGTAGTAATAATTAAAAAGGCATGATGGTGGTTTATTAAAAATAATAGTATTTAATTTAAATAATTTTCATTTCTTTCATTTGTTAATTTCTTTTGCTGACTGTCCTATTTTTATCTTTTTATAATATTTTGAAATTGATTATCATTTCATATATCACAGCAAGAAATAAACCTTAATCATTAAAAATATAAGCATTTCATCAAATAGTATTGTTCAAATTTTACAACAATTTTCAACTATTTAGTTAAATTTCAATCTTATATTTTATTTTATATTATTTAAATTTATAAGAATATTATAAGAACTATCAGATGGTATAGTTTAATTATAATTCGTAATTTTAACACTTTAAAATGAAAGGAAGTTTGTGACTTAATTGAATAAATTTGCATATATCTAACGAATCGTAATTAATTACAAAATCGCTCCAACCGCTTTCTCTTACAAAGTAATTAATTAATTTTAGTATGTAAACGGATGTCATTGTTAATGATCGAATACATTTGACAATATACTACTTGTAAAGGATTAAAAATGAAAAGAGAAATGAACATTGATAAAATTGATTTAGTGATCGTATACCTTAAAGGAAGCTAAAAATATGATGATTAATTGTTGAATAAGATTGTTGTCTAAGGAGATACAGAAATATATGCATTTATATTATAGTGGAAGAAATGATGATAATGGAAATTTTTGAAGGAATGAATTATTCACTTCAATATAAGCTATTTATTATTATTATTATAAATATAGCATTAAACCATTCAGGTATACTTTATTAAGCCAACAATCTAAATAGCCCTTTTTTTAAAAGGTTAAAATTTATTCACATAGAATAAATATATTTACAAAGTGATAAAACGCCATGATAAAATATAATATTATTAATTATCAATAGAAAAGATGATAAGCTAATTGGATTGAAAATAAAATTATTCTTTTAATTAATATAAAATATTTTTTATTAGAATTAAAATTTATGCAAATGAAAGAGTAGAAGAGTAGGAAAAAAACGAAATTAATAAGGAATATTTGATCAGTAAGATATATATATTACAAAATATTACAGATATATTATCAATATCAATGATAAAAAAAAATTATCGATAGCTAACAGATTGAAAAAAATGGTTTACCTTTAATTGTGAAAGAGCTAATTAATCATACAGTTTCTTTACAAAGGTGAAAAAGAAAGAAGTAGAAAAGTTGAGGTATTGCTGTCGGAATGATCTGAGAGAATTGTACTAAACATGAAAAATGATTCAGCTATAACAGAGAGGAAATGCAGAATATAATTTCTTCCCCTTTTTTTTCTACAAAATTTAAACAAGATGATAAAAAAGAAGGATGACAAGAAATGTGAGCGAAGTTGCAGTCGGAGCGTAATTATCTGTGAACGTCACCGCCACTACCGTATACTAAAAAATACCATGTAAGAATTAAGCATTTCCTGCGTTTTTTCTTCTTTAGGACACTATTTATTATTATTATTATTAATAATAATAATAATAGTTGGTTAAGAAGTATAAAGTAATCATTATGAGTTAGTATTATTATAATGTTATATTATTTTCGAATAGATAGAAATATTATAATGTGATAAGGTTGATAAGAATGGAAATATTATAATGTGATAAGGTTGATAAGGTTATTATAACTGAATGCTATAATATGATAAAGTTGATAAGGTTATGAGATTATCAGTTTTTCTCTTTAATTGATGAATTAAACTAAAAATGTGAACATAAATAGCTTCTTCTATAGTAATAATAAACATTTGTCGCCATAATAATATTTTGATAATTTTAAACATTCATTTTCAAATAGTGAATTATTATATTTGAATCATCAACTAATATCAATTCTATCTATATAATTTTGATGAAGTAAACATAATCAAAATTATCTTATCATTTCTATTAGCAAAAATTACAGGATATCAGATTAGGTAGGCAATTAACCATTTGAAATAAATTCATCATGACAGTTATTGAAACCAATTCACTGGTTAGATGCTTCAATGAGTCAGGTGATAAAAATTTTACCGGCAAATGCATTACAACATTTTACCACTTCTTCCCGTTTCTTCTGAGATTTTCCCACATGACTACAATCACATCACAATGATTACATTGCCTGGGAGCAACGATTACATTTCTAAGAGTAAAATTTCCAAAATAGATACATTAGACAAAATTTTTTAAAATTACACATCTACATTACTATCTAAAAATATTTCAAACAAGCTAATAAGTTCATCATTAATTTTAAACGATAAATTAAATTCAGATATTGAAAATTAATGATCTAATTTTTGGATCATTTTCTTTTTATCAATTATATTTTTGAATAGGTTATTAATTAGAAAAAGTTAAATAACTTAGAGAAATTTTAAGTTTAACAAAATAGAACTAATTTAATGCCCTATAAATGATAAGGAAAAGAAGATAAAAAAAAATGAAGATAATGTAATAAATTAGAAATGAAATAGAATGATAAAGAAATGAAAATAACATTACCGCCAGTGCTAACTATATATCTCTTTGCCTGTCACTTTCGCAATTGTCTTTTAATTTGTGTACTTCAAAATATATACATCAAAATAATTTATATCTATCTATTCATCTGTTGTTTATTGATTAATCAGATTTTTTCTTAAAATCTAATTTATCGCTCTGAAATTTCTTAATAATTTATCGTAGTTTTAGAGTGTTTCTTTTTTGGATGTTAACAAGAAACTTCTGGAAGTTTCAAAATGAAATTTTCAATTTTCAACAAAGTAAATAATATAATTTATCGTGCATGATTTATGCCTTATAATTACTTCCGGAAGCTTTTATGAATATAAATAATTACTAGACATACATTTGATATTGCTCAGTAGATATGATCCTTTCCTCTTATTTCAACCTTCCTTTTTTGGTCATTTCTTAAAATTGCTACGGAAGAGAAAAATGAGAAAGCAAAGCCTTTTAAATAAATATCTATATCAATCCCATTTTTAATCAATTTTCAAGCCTATTACATCCGTTTCTACCAACCAAATATTGTCTATCAATGAATTGAAAAAGAACGAAAAATTTTAAATGTAAAATAAATAATTTACTAATTAAACAAAATAAAAATATATTTGTAATCTCAAATAAAAAATAAAAACAAAGAAAGAGAGAATGAAATGATATTAAAATTACATTTAAAAAAATTAAATTCATTTTAAAAAAAAGAATGAAAAAACCTCTTCCATCTATTTTTGGATCGAAGATTTCCATTTTATCTTGAGTTTCCTATCAATTATCATATTTGATTTGAAAAATAGCAATGGTTTGATAAATGGTAATTATTCATTTCATATTTTATTCCCATAATCTTAGTTTCATAAATCTATCAAGATATATCGGAATGGATTAGAATATTTCAATTAATATAATATTCAAGAAAAAGAAAATTAATAATAGAATACGAAATGTTCATGCTAGTTGAATCTAAGAAAGATAGCTTAAAAATAGTCAATTGGAAATGGATTAAAAATAGATAATTTTATCATCTTACTAATTTTAAAATTTAAATTTGGATTGTTTAGTTCATAAAAAAAAGTCATTTGTTATCAATTAAAACTATCCAAAATAAAAGTATATTGCAATTTCATTAATAATTAAATTGAATTAAATATTATCATTGAATAGTAGTATATTGTGTGTTAATATGCCGGTTACGATTATTTGATATGAACTAATCAGTGCAGCTGCTCACTTATTACAGTATGATATTTTCACACATTAAACTAAATCTTCCCATACTAAATTCAACATTAATCTAACAGTAGTTCTAGACAAATAAAATCAATAAATGAGAGAAATATTTTATAGAAATACCATAATCCTCGATATCACATAATTCATTTATATTGTAATCTTTTAATTATTGATGAATTTTTCATCTTAATAGCTTAGTCTGCTATCTTTCAATGTATGTAAATTAAGTGTTTTCATTATAAATAAGAAAACGTCTAAATTTAAATGAAATTAATTAACTAACCACTAGCTGAATGAACCCGTGTCATCCATGGATAAACAGCTACACTATTCTTCTCTTCTTCATCGTCATCTTTTTCACCATCTTTACCATTCTTATTCCATTCACCATTATTGTAACCACAAGATGAACTCTGTAATTAAAAAGAAATTAATTTCTTAAGCTTCTTTTTCTCTTTTGTTAAATAATATTTAATTAAAATCTAAATTGAATTAATACATTTTCCAATTTCTTTTTCATTTCAACTTCTTAAAATTACTTAATAAACTTTGAAATTATTGATAATTTAAATAAACTTTTAATATTCATAAAGAGAAAATCTTACCTTAAAATATTACATTGAATTTGATCATATATTAAATATATGAAATTCTATTAAAATATACTTTTAAAAGAGATAATTTATTTTGAAAAATTTGAAAATTAAAAAAATATCAGAAAAATTGAAATCATTGAGGAATGATAATGATAATTTTAATCAAATGATAATTTGATTAATAATTTGATAATATAAAATATGGAATAGTTAAAATTTTAATATAATAAATTATTTTACTATCTGAATGTATTGGATGATAAGATTAGATTAGAAAATAAGCGAAGATATGTGAAAGGATTAGATTTAAATTATTAGTCAATGGTTCATCAAACGATAGATCTTATCAAAATATACTATATATAAATGAATACAAGATTAAGAATGAAATGATAAAGATTGATAATTATTGATCATTTTCTTAGTAAATTTTATTATTTCAAATTCATTTATTACATAAGTTTTATTTTATTAAAAAATAAAACAATACCTTAAATGGCGCAGATTAATTAAAGATATAATTAGTAATAATTTTATTTAGATGTGAAATGATATTTGTTTATTCTGATTTATAGCCAAAAATAATCCACTAGTAAAACACCAATGATACATACCTGCATGGAAATTTTGCGAAAAATGAAAGAAGGCTAGAGGGGGATCGGAAAGTCATATTATCGATGTAATAAATCTGAATTAATTGGCTCAATGCCTTTCATTTGATTTATTAAAACTCATTAACAATGAGCATCCCTACCCAAAACTAACGACTTTCCCCTCCTTCAAAAATGTTGCCATTTATTTCGTTCAAAAAATTTTCGCTCTCAAATAATAGCTCCAAAGAAAATCTCTGTCTCATTACTTCTTCTTCATTTGATTAAAAGAGACGATAATGTTGTTGATTTATAAAAAGCTCAATAACTACTACGACTACTACTACTCTTTCCTACAAATCAAATCTCTCCTACTCAATACTTCTTATTTCCTAATAAAACTAATTATTTCATTTTCTTTCATCCATTACCAATATATATTTATAATTTAAAATACGAACTAAAATTCAGGTTAACCCAATTGCTTGCTATCTTTAATTGCCTAAAGGAAGCTTACAGTATCCATTCTATATCAGATTGCTTGTTACAGTAAAATGAGACTGTTATTGCTCATAATTATCAAATATAATTACCAACTATTATCAATTCTTTAGAATATCAAATCTTAACTTATAATTTATTATTTTATAAAATGCATTCCAAATGTATCGACAAATTTTAGTGTTTATTTAAGCATAAGTGCAATATATCATGAGAAAAGCCTTACAAAATGGCTTATAATGATCTATATGTCGACAGAAGTAATCAAATTAAGGAAGAAATAACTTCTTACAGAAATTTATGACAATTTCATAGCGAGCTGTAAAGTAGCATCCTTATTCTCAACTATTCTTTTTTGTAACGAATCTAAAACTTCAGGGATTCTAGAGATGAAATCCATTTTTATATCTATTGTAAATCGATGATTAAATGATTAAATCGATGTTCGATAATTAAAGTTGACGATGAAAGTATTTATCTAAAACCATTGTCGTAACAGGTAACTTAGTCCTAAGATGTGAATTTTAAAGATCGCAAAAGTGAACTAATCATAGTTTAATTTTGCGATATTTGATCATACTTGGGGAAACATATTTGAGGTGAACGTAAGAAAACATCGTATTCTATTCTAATTTTCCATCATTCAAACAGACGAAATTGGCTTACTTTTGAAGTTATTTTCACTACTTCAATGAAATTGAACAAGCTGAACGAAAATCCATGCATTTGCATGAAACTGAAATAATCCAGTTATTTTCGCCTGATTAGAATTACGATGTTTCGTACACTGTTCATGTGATTTTAAATGTTGACGTTAGAGTCTAATAAAGATCAAAATCAGAACAAGTTCCACACTATCATTATTTATTTAACATTTAATCATTAATAATGCATTTACCGATGAGAAGTTTGAATCAGAAGCGCTTCAGACCAATACAGAAGTTGAAGAGATGTCAGACTTGTAAGATTAAAAATAAAAGTATTCATATATTAATTTACAATAATTGGCTATTTTTACTCGAGCTATCCTGCACAACACTTCACAAATATTTATCTGAAAGTTCAAAAAAATGGCTAAGATTTTAACCCAAAACGGAGATCAAGTAAAATTAGCTAATTAAATTAAGTATTAAAATGAGGCTCAGCAGCATAAATTCTACATTGGCGAAATTCTGACTTTTTCAAAACTTTTTATATCTCACAAAAGTGAATTAGCAAAATGTACAATCGACGAATTGCTATGTGCACAACAATCTTCAATTGTACAAATGCTCAATTAACCGATCATTGATGAAAGCCATCAAAATTAGGCATCACTAAAGGAAATTAGGCTTATCTGTGATGCACTTCTTATAATGGGAAAGTCACCTTCAAGAACTATCACTTACTCATTACTGATAAGATTCGGATAAAGTCGGACAACATAGTATGTTATATGCATATAATTATTCACTTGCTTTTTCCGAAGAATATCTTGAATAAATAATTTCATAAAATTCTATTGATCTGTCAATGATTATAAATTTCGAAATTGTTCATCTAAAATGAGCTTTTCAATTTTTATTATCTCTGCTTACTTCTCACAGCTATTTAATTTATAAAATGGAATATTTAAGTTTCAATAAAAGGATAGATGTACTGACCGGACCATGTTGACTGGAATCAGGAGCACTATACTGTGTATTTGGATAATATGATGGACCGGATGGTGGTGCAGGTGCTGTTGCAGAATTACTGGTCGTTGTAAGCCTTGGATTTGACTGTTGCTGATGTTGTTGTTGTTGTTGATCATAGTAATAATTTGAGATCTCTGGTACAAATTGCTCCGCTGATGTCATATTTTCAGATACTAATCATCCACCAAGCCAGTAATGATCCACGAAAACGTTTTGTTATAAATAATTATCGGTAAATCTCACAAAATCTTTTTCAAAGTGATAATTGTAAAACGTATTACATTAATTCACGCTTAATAACGTTGAGCAGTTAGAATGGAGCAACGTAGCGTTGCAGCGCCACTTTATTTCTGTATTGAAACATACAATATTGATTGATGCGATCCTCCGATGTTACACCAACTCCTCGTCTTCCTTTTTCTAATCTGAAATGTTAACTTCTACAAAATTTACTGAAAAATCGGAAATTACCACCTCTTTCCACCTTCTGCGATGTCTCGTACCATCACCTTTTTCCTGTTCTTTTGTTTTAGCAGCATTTTTCCGGTTACTAAAACAACAAGAATCAACAAGAAATTAACGAGAAAAAGAAATCATGCGAAAGCAGAGAAAAGGATCAGATAGAATAAGGTGAAAAGAGAGTTTCCCGATGGATGTCCCCCTCCTCCCCGCCTTCAACGAATGGACGATTGATGAAGGCGGGGCATCTGGTAGAAAATCCTTCACATCAGACGATCACACAAAATGCAAACACACACAGCCTAATAGATGGAGAGATGTAGAAAATGAAGATGATTATATGATGAGTGGGAGGATTATGATCGTAATTATAATTATAATTATGATTAATATAATGTGATAATGATAAAAATAAATAACACATAATTGAAATAATCACTTCGGGAATAACGACAACATGATAATGTGAATCACAAATAAACTTTTATATTTCATTCTAATTTTTTAAATTCACATTTGTCAACTATAAAGAATTGCAACTTTCGATCGTTTCCGCAAAAGTTTTCATTGTGAGACACGTGATATCAGTACTGCATAATCTATGCATTCATTTTTACCTTACCAACAGCGCATTCATTCATTCATTCATTCATTAGTTTATTCGGTCATTCGTTCATTCATTCCTCTAATTCAAATTGTTTTTCTTTCTTAAAAAATTCTCAAATCTCCCCGGTCGTTTTATGTATCGAAGCATCAAAAATCGCTCATTTCTTTTACCCTTTATTTTTGTACTTTATATATATATATATATATATATGAAAAGAAAGAGAGGAGGGTAAGAGAGAAAGGGATGGTGTTGTATCAGATAGAGAAATTGTATACCAATGTCATTTAAGGTTGAGTTCATTTATGGAATGAATACAATTGCAACATTGTTGTAACTATCCTGCATTTTAAGTAGTTAGTTGTCAGTCAGTCAATTAGTCGATTAGCCGATCAGTGAAGTGAATGAGTTAATTAGTGAGCCTAATCAGTCACATTCGCTGTTTTTATTAGAAGTAGCAGTGTTATCAGTGGTGGATAAAGATTTGCCTAGTATCAAATGTCATCCAACCATTGAAGGGATGGTTCACGTATCAGCGAGTTATATTGGCTTTCTTTCGATCATATTTGAGATAGAAGGTGAGGGAAGCACACTAGGAAGAAGCGTAAAGTTTTGTAAGTGAAATTAGGGTATTGGTGTCGGGAGCCATCGAAGAGTGGGAATTGCGAAGGGTAGGATGGAAGGGGCCTCTCCCTCTCAGTCATCTGTCAGAATTTGTCGGCATCCCTCTGATGGCGGTTACTTCAAAACCCAATGAGTGGGCTAAAACCCCGACTACTGCCACATTCGAACATTTCCTTCTTCTCTCCACCCCAAGAACTGATACATTGCCTTCCTTCTTCCGTCTCATTCTTTTTCGTTCGCCTCTTACCGACTTACATCCTCCTTAACTTCCATCAATTAAAAAAGCGCCACATTCAGAGCACTGATTCTCTTCGTTCCCCCTCCCCATTTCACCCCTTCCTCCCACCTCAATATTTTCAACCTCCATACACCTACACTTATCCACCCACACACACACACACACTCATCCACCCACACACAGACACACACACACACACACTCATAGACATACACACTTAAAAGGACTCAATTTTTCCAGACCCCCGAAAACAGTGGAAAGAGTAGAAGAAAATGACAATGTATATTTTTATATATATATATACACATAATACATATACATATATATACATCCATACATTTAGCAGAAAACCGAAAACGCGAAATCATCAATCAATTTCTCTCCTCTTTATGTTTTTTCTGTTGAATCCATTTCAAATAGTTCAATTTATTGGCATTAGATGAGTTAATGTTAGCCATTGAAACAACCATTTGTGTTTTGACATTGAAAAGTTTGCATGAAATTTTTAAATTTATTAAATTGAATGATTTGTTTGAAATTGCTTGCAAGAAATACGACAGATAAAGTGTTGAATTCTTTTTCCTTTTTTTGTAGTAATTTCTTCCTAAAAAGCAGCAAAATATAACGTAGAAATATTATGAAAAAAAGTGATTAAGAATAATAATTAGAGAGCGAAAAACTTTCCCTTATCACTAATTATTATAAGAAATGATAACAACAACAATAAAGCAACAATACTTACTTAACAAACACCCTCACTAACAGCAAAAGCGCTAATAGTAATAGCATTCGCACACCATCAGATCATTTCCTCCAACTCTTTCACATTCTCTCTCTATTCACTGAAAATCTTGCAACAACCGCTACCGTAATACTCGAAAAACTTATAATCTCCAAATCCTTAAATTATTCTTGCAACCAATATTTTTACCCCATAAAAGATAAACATTTGTTGCGTTAGAAAAGGCGAAACAAATTGTTCTTAAAATTTAATACATTTTATATCATTTTTTTTTGAATTGTTTTAATTAGCATAATAATGATATATGCATGACAATAATTAATGATTGCTAATTAAATTATTCAATTGCAAACGAATTAAAATGACAACATGAAATTGGTAATGTGATAAAAGTGCTACTCAAATAATAAGCAACATAAAAGCATTAATCATTGATAAGTCAATATGACAAATTTATCTGCGGAAAAAAATCGGACAAAATCGAATGAATGCAAACGGTAAGAGTAAAGTTTGAAATTTTTAATATAAAGTGCAATTTATAAATATGTGCCAAGAGTAGAAGAAAGAAAAGAAAAAGGATTAATTAATAATCACAAATATTTTATCCTATCCATTAGTATTTTTCAGGGTAAGAATATTATTTATAATTTACAAAAATATTTGGCCAGAAAATTAGTAAATTAAAAACAATACAAGGATCCTGGAAAATTTCCAAAAATTGAGAATTCAAAAAAGTGCTAAAAATACAACGAACTTTCTTTTCAGTTCAAACTTGTTGACAAAAATACACCATTTTAGATTAAATTGTTATCATAAATCATTTTTCTAAATGATTTTATGTTCATGGTCATGATACACTAAAACAATTTACTACCATTGCAAAGGAAGACAATATTGTACTAAATGATCAAAATAGAGATGATTTTCATTCATTTATCTTTTTCCTTCTTTTTTTGCAATTTAATGATTAATTCATTTTTAAAAACAACTCTTACTATAGAAGAAGAAGAAGAAGAAGAAGAAGAAGAAGAAAGGAGAAAAAAAGGTTTCAAAAAGATGAAATTGAAATGAAATTAGCAATTTGACGAAGAATTCATATGGGAAAATGAAAGTTGTAGTTATACATCGAAATGATGAAATAAGTCTCTAGACATTGGAACATATAGCAGATCCGATCAAACAAATTCTTACAAAGATCTTTAAGGCGATAAAAAAACAAAAACGAAGTTAAATGTGGAAATTTTCAAATTGCTCATTAATGTTTTTCCTTATAATATCGTTAACGACGAAAAAAAAATTAAAATAAAAATAAAGCATTTCAAAAAAGAAAAATGAGCCGATCATCTTTTGAGAAGCTAAAATAGCTGTCAGGAATTTGATAAGTGAAGAAAATAGTTCATTTCATATGTGCTATTAAGGTAAAGATGAAAAGAGATTTTTTTTTATCAATTATCCTATTCGTCCCTTAATTGTCACAAATTTTTTGGTTGACAAAAATTTTTGGATATTATCAGAAATGGCAACATTAGTTCGATAGCGTCGAATTGATTTATTCATGTCGTTAACACAAAACAAATGATCGGGTGAATATCGGATGATGATAATGATGATGATGATGATTGCCTTTACCCTATCTTGTTAATATGCTCAATAAATACGATCATTTCTCCTTGAAAAATTATGTCCTAACTTTTACCTTCAAAATTTATTATTATTTTCTAACGCTGTAAATATTTCGCTACTAAAAAGTGTTTATTTGCTCTCTCTCTCTCTCTCTCTCTTTAAATTTTCCCATCTTATTTCGGTAAAAATAAAAGGGAAATTTTAAAAAAGTTGAAATAATTACAAACAAAAGAAACAAAAATCATTTTATTATGCGAAAAATTGCAACTTCAAATAAATTCATAATTAATTAAATAAATTACTTACTCAAAAATTATTCATTAAATTGATTTGATTAAAAAATGGCTGCCAATTTTTCTTTTCCTTCTTTTTTGTTTTACTTTCATCAAAAAAATTTCATTCGTTCAAATGTTCCTTCCTCTTCTTCAATTCTATCATTTTTCCTCGTTCCCTTTTTTTCTTCTTTTAATTTCTTGATTTTAATTTTTTTCTTCTCTTACCTTTTTCAAAAACAAACCAGTTTCTGTTGTTAATCTCGGTTTTAGAAGGCATTTTGCCGATTTGACGGAAAACTTCAAAAATCGCATCATATCAATGAATGAATGAATGAATGGTTCATTTCGTTTTGTTGCTTTCAATATTAATCGTTTAAGATAATTGTTATTTGGAAAAGTAAATTTTGTTGCTAATTTCATCTTAGTATATATATGGCGAAATTATTACTTCACTATTTCTTCATATTAATTCACCTTATCAGTACAATAACTTCAATTATATCACTCTTCAAATGATAACGTATAAGTATTAAGTGACAATGGTTGAATCAGTTATTAAAAGCCCTTTAACAATATCTCATTATTTTAAAAGTTATTATTTGTTTTTTCAGGAATTTAATTACGGAAATGATTTACAGGATGATTTATGAATTGATGGTAAAAAAAAGAAGTCGTATCGGTCCAAAATCAATCTTCACTGCTCATTTCATCAACATATATTTCACGATGAGATAAGTGCATGTATCTCGGATTTCTAGAATTAGCTTACCTTTGCTAGTAATCGTTTGGTTTATGCCTACGTTTTCATTTCTAGTCATTGGAAGTAATTTAAATTTGATAATTAGCCAAAATGTTACATTATCTAAAGCAACGCATTTAGTCATTACCATTAAATTGCGATTTACGTAAGCTAATTAGCTATTATGATTAGATTACAATTTAAATAAGTCAAAAATATCTTTCAAAAAACACTCCTTCTATAATGATTAACTATTATAGTGCTAACTTTAAAAAAAGAACGACTATGTGATTTGATACTTTCCTTCTTTTGACTATTAAAATCCTTTTGCAGAAATAGCGAAAGACAGTTAAGTATATAAAACACAGTTAAGTAAATATTTCGTAGTACATATAGCGCAGTTCTTTCACTTCTGCACGGCACTCTGTAAGATTCCTTGAAATGAAAATTCACTGTTATATTATTTACAGTATTATTTAATTTTCACACATCACATTAAATTCTATTATATCAATAAACAACTTGTTAAGTTGGCACTGGCAAAGATCGGTTAAATTTGCCAAAATTAACCTTAAAAAAATTGTCTGATTTAGTTCGAAAAATCTCGAAGATAATTATCGCATATTAGTTTCATATATTATTATGAAAATTTGACTGTCTGATTAATCAAGTAAAACTATTATAATATCATAATAATAATATCATGAATAATAAATAATGAACATGAATAAATAACAATGATCGAAATGATTTAATAATTATCAGCGATTGATAAATGTTAACTGATAGGAAAACAATTATAAATAGATACTTCGATAATTCTTTAACTATAAAATGCTGGGAAAAATCTTTTAATTTAAAAAATAATTTGACTTTATGAAAAAAATTGTATATCCTATAAAATTATTGTAAAAGGAAAATGGTTCTGTTAAAGAAAATTTTAATGCAATTCAAGATATTATCATATAATCACTAAATGAGATCATTTAATATTTAGTACAAACATGAAGAGATAATAATTTTAAATCAATTTTTTGAAACTTAAGTAAAACTTTCAACTTTGCGGTATATTTTCTACACCATTTAATTAAGTCAAAATTATTTTATTTTGAATAAATTAAACTTTTCTTCTAATTTATTTACTGTATTATACGATAACTTTATTTGCATTTCCATTTATCTGAATTAAAAATTATTTCAGTAAGAATGAAAAGAAAGTTTTCAGGGAAAAGCATATTATGTCGGTCTATAAATTACAGTATTTGATAATAAAAACTACCATAACCATAGGAATTATTGCTATGAAAGTTATTTCTTACTTTAAACAAAATTTTTGTAAAATATTTCCTAAAATTATTTTTTAATTTTGTAAATACCAAAATGATTTGCTTGAAATAATTTTATTTTTGTTTTAATTTTTTTTGCAAGCAAAAATGAATTATAAAAGTTTGTTATAAAATGTTTACTTTAATAAACAAAAACAATTATTGGCCATTTTCAGAAGTCGGAAAATATTTTTGAAATTTATCGTTTTTATCATAACTAAATGATCAGTTAGAGTAAAGTAAATTCTGAGAGAACTAATTTAAAATATATCAATACTTCCATTGGTTAAGTTCAAATTGAAAATTTAAAAAGAATAAAGAACTTCTAACGAAAAATTCTAATTTTTTCGTTATAAAAATATGACTCAAAAATTAAATGCTTTTATGATATTGATAACAAAGATTTACTCTTATCATTATTCAAACTGTTGGAAACTTTTAGAAATTGCTTAATCTTATCATTCAAATTATTACAAGCCTTTAGAAATTACTTGATCTTATCATTTAAATTATTAGAGGCCTTTAGAAATTACAAATTGCTAGAAGTCTTTAGGAATTACAAATTATTAGAAGCCTTAAGAAATTATTTAATCTTACCTTACTTAATCCTATCATTCAAATCATTAGAAGCCTTTAGAAATTTTGGAATAAATAATTTTTTGAGTGTAAATTATTCGATTGATTTTTAATAAAAAATTCTTCCAAATGTCTTCTCAAAAAAAATCGAAAATCATAAAATTTCAAATTTATTGTAAAATCTTTTCGATCAATCAAATTAGCAAACGACTAATTAAGCAATTTTTGCTAAAATTTTTGTAAAATTTCAATCAATTTTCAATTCTCTAAACAAATTAAATATTCATTAACTTTCTTATTCTTTTCCTCTAATTAAAAAGGCAATTAAATAGATTAGGTAGAAGGTTGAAATAATGCAATAAATTTTGGATTAGGTCAATAAAAAACTTCAATATATTATACCAATAAATTTATAAACATTTGGACAGTTGACATAGAAAATAATGATAAATGTGAATGATTGTAAAGATTTATAAGAGGTAAAGGTCAACCTGTTGATTAATGTTTCAGGTAGGAAATTTTGGCAAAGATATGAACATGGAAATATATGCATAAAATATCTCTCTTCATATACAACGAATAATAAATTGTCATCGTGAGGGGGGAGAAAAAAATGGGAGAGAGATACGTCTTGATTACGGTAGAATTTCAAATTTATGTTGCGGTAGTGATAGTGTGAAATTTATGGCGGCAATCTAAAGGAAGTGGAAAAGCCGCCTTTCCTTTCTTTCATTTTTTTTTTTAAAAATAGTTATTTTGATTTAGTTGAACCAAAAGAGAGGAAATTTTTATCAGAGAAGATAAGGCTTGTATGAGTAATTTCTTAAGAAACAATAAATCATCAACGAAGAATAACAAAGTATGGTTACTGTGAGAACAAACGAAAGAAAGAATGGGAAAAAAGTTTGTGACAAATTTTTGCTCAATTTTATTTTAACAATAATAATAATAACAGTATTATAGGACTTCCTCGAATGTGTTCATCGCCTACTAGTATTGATATATTATGAACACCTTCTGTTCGTGGTGTAAACTCCACTTCGAATATTTCATCGGGAAGTTTCCTCAATGATACTGGAAGCGGATTT